TTAACTTTTAAGCCCTTTAGTCACTGTTTATACCTGTCTCTTATACACATCTAGATGTGTATAAGAGACAGGTATATTACACCTCAGATGATGACTGTGCACCATGCATAAGACTGCTGTTCTCTTTTAAATTTTAATCTCATTATTGGCAAATTGGTTCCGGCGCTCGAACCTATAAGACTGCTAAACCGCCCCCTGCGCACCCTGCCTGTGGACCTGTATCACCAGCAAACAGAGTTGAAGAAAATTCAGAAAACCGCTGCACTGCTCTGCTGCTGATCCTGCTACATCTACTGCTGAAAAAGACCATATCTGCGGTTGCGGCATGGCCATTGCTGCTTTTGCGAAGGTCGTTGAGGGCGGAAGAAAGGGGGCGAGTGTTGTTGATGAAGGATGTTTGTTGAATGCTATGATTTTTGTGAAGGACCCTTGCTTCATACCCGAAGAATGGTATAATCAGTGGAGATAGGTTCCCTTGTTTTGTTCCTTTTTGCTCTTGAGCTGGGAACCCTTCCTCCTCGTTTCCCACTTTTCCCCTTTTTCGTTTTTCCTTTGCTGCTTTTGCTATTTGGGGGCTGTTGCAGAGTACATTCTCACAACAATTAGGGCTACCATGACCTAATCTGACTGTGCATTCTAGCTGTATCTAGACTGAACAATGCGTGAAATACAGCTATAATGACCCAATCTGAATGTGGAGGTGGACGTTGATAAAAAAAATGTAACGACTACTTTGGTCACGTTGGTGAGTGCTTTTTGTCTTTGTCCTCTCGCTTCCAGCCTCGAGCTCATTTGCTGCTGCTGGTGTATTCTGTTGCTGATAATTTTGCTGCTGACTTCCCCCCCCCCCCCTGCTGTTGTCATCGCATTCGCATTTGGATTTCTCACTCTTGGGGGGCTGCTGCCTGTCTTGACGGCAGGTGTTTACATGGTAGAGGTTTCCTGCTACTACCTTCTTCACCTGAATACAGCGTACACTGCCGTACGGTCATAATTGCTGTTTTTAGACTGAAAGATAACCCAGATACAGCTATAATGACCACACAATGCGTACATTGTATTTGGGTGAAGAAGGTAGGCTCTGGCGTTTTGGTGCTGGTAAGCACTTTTGAGTGTTTTGATTCTGGGGTGTTCCATTGCTTCACGTTTTGTTGCGAATTCCCATGTGGCTAGGCGTTTTGCTCTTCCTCAGCTGCGTCTTTTGCTCTCGTGTGTGTGTGTGTGTGTGTGTGTGTGTGTGTGTGTGTGTGTGTGTGTGTGTGTGTGTAGTGTAGTGTAGTGTAGTGTGTTGTCATGTTCGCTGTACACAACTCCACAGAAAAAGGATGACTGTGCTAGATTGTTTTATCGAACTTTCGCTGACTCATCAGGAGGATCGAGTGGAAGTCCTACGATACAGTCGGGCACAGTCATGCTTTTCTTCGTGGAGTGGTGTGTGTCTGTGTGTGTGTGTGTGTGTGTGTGTGTGTATGTGTGTGTGTGTGTGTGTGTGTGTGTGCGCGCGCATGTGCGTGTGTGCATGCATGCATTCAAAGGGGGGGATCAGCTACTAACATCGTTGTATCGGTCAGGATTTGAGGTTGTGATCTGTTTATAACAGCTTCATGTCTGTACCATGCAGCTCTTTTTTTTATGCGAGGTGTTGATGTCCTTTCTACAGCCCGTTTTGCTTGCCTCCAGGCATAATTGTCGGGTGTTTTGCTGTGCACGCTTGTGTGATGACTGTAACTGACAGGTGACAGTCTTTAAGCAGACTGCTGAGAGGCTCGCGGCGCTGAACGCACGGTTAAGAGGCATCCGGCTTGGTGACTTTGCGTGAGTAGCCACCCCCCCGTGCATCTGGGATGGTGGTCTGTTTCTTCATTATGTCATCTTGCTAGGCTACCAGCCGGGCCGCCCGTGTCACCTTGTTTGCCCGGGCGGCCCGGCCGTGCAAGGGCCAAACAAAGTCCCAGGAAGAAAAAAACGAAAAAAAAATCTGAAAAAAAACTACGTTATGCAGAAAAATAAACTGAGCAACTTTTGCCTCAGGGTCACATCGAAATTCCTCACCAAATTTTAAATAAAAAATGAAGTTTTTTTTTTTTTTGCCTGCCCGTGCAAGTGGTCCCGGCCCACTCTGGTACCCTCCCTAGTCTTCTTGGTATTTGGCAAGTTTGCAATCATTGGCAAGCAACATTAAGGAAACTGCTGCTGCCTCTGCCCCGCTCTGCAGTTGGGTTGGGATCGCAGTGTCTGTTTCCGTCTGTCTTCCCCTGTTCTGAAAGCTTCACGATCCAGACGGCATAAAAGAACTGTTTTTGGCTTTCTTTTTATGTGAACCATCTGGCTCTTCAGACATAGTATGCCATCTTTATCAAACAGGGTTGTTAGGTTTGCAAATTGCAATCCCACGAAAGCTTTCTTATTGCTGCTATTGTGTAGATTCAAGATTGTAAGTGCCCTAGGGGAGATATTGTGCTTTGTCAATCCACATCGCCATTGCTTTCTCCTTTCATGTTCTTGCCATGGTAACCGCGGACCCGGACGCCGGACATTTCCGTACTGTTTTCCAGACCTGTGTCTGGACCAGTCCGGACATCACCGGACACCGGACAGTACCGGAAGCCGGACATCACCGGACACCGGACTGTCCGGACTGTGTTGGCAGGGGCAAGATGTCTGGGAAAAAAAAAAAAAAAAAAAAAAAGAGGCGGGGAGGGAGCTCACCTGTTTCGCACTTCGTGGCGGAGCCCCTGCATCAGATGGTCTACAGTTCCGTCTTTCCCCCTATTTCCCCGAGCCTCCCACCCCCCCTATCTCCCCGAACCTCGTTCCTCCCACTGCGCACCTTCCCCCTCCCTCCCCGAACGTCCTCCCGGACCTCCTCGAACCTCGTACCAAACCTCGTTCCTCACACTGCGCGTCTTCCCCCTCTCTCCCCGAACCTCCTCCCAGACCTCCCCGAACCTCGTACCCACCAGTCCCCTTCCCGACCGTCTTCCGCTCGTCCCCCCCCATCTTTCCCGACTCCCTGCCAGTCTCCGTCCCTCCCTCCCCGAGCCTCCTTCCCCCCACTCCGCGCCTCCCCTCTCCCATCTGTCCCTCTTCCCCCTATCTCCCTGAACCTCGTATCCCCC